AACCGGCGCCCTCGCTTGAGACATCCTCACAAAACCGGCCCCGGGGGAGGTGCCCAGAGGAGCCCAGAGCGGCCTCCGGCACCGTTTCCGGACGATCCGCTGGATCCGGTGACGAATCCCAAACCGGCGCCCTCGCTTGAGACATCCTCACAAAACCGGCCCCGGGGGAGGTGCCCAGAGGAGCCCAGAGCGGCCTCCGGCACCGTTTCCGGACGATCCGCTGGATCCGGTGACGAATCCCAAACCGGCGCCCTCGCTTGAGACATCCTCACAAAACCGGCCCCGGGGGAGGTGCCCAGAGGAGCCCAGAGCGGCCTCCGGCACCGTTTCCGGACAGATCCGCCGACGAATCCCAAACCGGCGCCCTCGCTTGAGACATCCTCACAAAACCGGCCCCGGGGGAGGTGCCCAGAGGAGCCCAGAGCGGCCTCCGGCACCGTTTCCGGACAGATCCGCTGGATCCGCCGACGAATCCCAAACCGGCGCCCTCGCTTGAGACATCCTCACAAAACCGGCCCCGGGGGAGGTGCCCAGAGGAGCCCAGAGCGGCCTCCGGCACCGTTTCCGGACAGATCCGGTGGATCCGGTGGATCCGCCGACGAATCCCAAACCGGCGCCCTCGCTTGAGACATCCTCACAAAACCGGCCCCGGGGGAGGTGCCCAGAGGAGCCCAGAGCGGCCTCCGGCACCGTTTCCGGACAGATCCGGTGGATCCGGTGGATCCGACGAATCCCAAACCGGCGCCCTCGCTTGAGACATCCTCACAAAACCGGCCCCGGGGGAGGTGCCCAGAGGAGCCCAGAGCGGCCTCCGGCACCGTTTCCGGACAGATCCGCTGGATCCGGTGGATCCGCCGACGAATCCCAAACCGGCGCCCTCGCTTGAGACATCCTCACAAAACCGGCCCCGGGGGAGGTGCCCAGAGGAGCCCAGAGCGGCCTCCGGCACCGTTTCCGGACAGATCCGGACAGATCCGGTGGATCCGCGCCCCGGGGGAGGTGCCCAGAGGAGGAATGAGGAGGAGGAGGAGGAGGAGGAGGAGGAGGAGGAGGAGGAGGAGGAGGAGGAGGAGGAGGAGGAGGAGGAGGAGGATGATGGAGCTGTGGGGTGGAGGAGGACAGACGGAGGCAAGAGAAGGATGGAGGAGGAGGAGGAGGAGGAGGAGGAGGAGGAGGAGGAGGAGGAACCTCATCCTCACCCTCGCCAACAGGCGCACGCACCTTCTTCTATATACAGAAACTCCCGATCAACCGCAGAGCGGCCGGCTAGTACCAGAGAAAAACCCCAATCATCATTTTTTAAGGGCTGTAGGGCTACAGGGCTATATGGGCTCTTGGGCGCTATATGGGCTATATGGCTATATGGGTAATAGGGCTATAGGGCTATAGGGCTAAGGGCGATAAGGATATAGGGCTATAAGGCTATAGGGCTACAGGGCACCGGGCACCCGGGCACCTGGCACCTGGCACCCGGGCACTCACCCAGGCACCGGGCACCCGTCACCCGGACACCCGGGCACCCGGGCACCCGGGCCCGGCCACCGAATCGGCGGCGAACCCGGGCACCCGGGCACCCGGGCACCCGGGCCCGGCCACCGAATCGGCGGCGAACCCGGGCACCCGGGCACCCTGGCACCCGGGCCCGGCCACCGAATCGGCGGCACACCTCACCTACCCTTAAATCCGCTAGGACCCCTACAGAGGCAAGCTCTGATTGGGGACCCCCCCCCCTAACGTGGACTACCCACCTAACGTAACCAAGACCTCGGTGACATCGAGCCCCGCCCGCGCGGAATGGGCGTGACACATGCATTCTGGAGACGCTTGTCTCCGAATGATGCCCTGGTTCGCGCGTGGGCCACATCTCTGATAAAAATGTTGTCGTCTAGGCGCTGGCGACATCCTTCATGGAGCGTGTTGTTCTCGCCTGTGCGTGGGCTGCATCTCTGATTGAAAATGCTGCCGCTTTGGCGCCAGCGACGTCCTTGATTGAGAATGTCGTTCTCGCCGTGGCGCCAGCCAAATGTCCGATTGAAAATGTTGATGTCGCCTAGGCGCCGGCGACATCCTTCATTGAGCATGTCGTTCTCGCTTTGGCGCTGGCCAGATCTCGGATTGAAAATGTGGCTTAGCTTTGGCGTTGTGTCGACAGGACTTGGGTCAGGTTAGGTTAGGGATTGGCCACGTTAGGGGGGGCTTCTAAGGAAGTCTCAGGCGAAACACCCGGCCCGCCCTTCCGACTGGCCTCGGGGTGCGACAAGGACGAGTTATTCATAACGAAAAGAAATGGAGGAGTACGCCATCGAGTACACAACCCGCTAACAACAAAAAACAGTAAACATATGATGCAGCATGTCGCTGGGTCTGGGAAGGCGTACGGTGCTATCCCTGTGGCGTCGGGCAGGCGTATGATGCTTCAGTCATTGAGGTGTGGAAGGGCGTATGGTGCCCTTCCGTGCCCACCCCGCCCCTCACACGTGGACGTCGCCCTCCCCCCCTCCCCAGGGTGGTGAAGAAGGTGTGCGGGCAGCCCTCCCCTGACGCCGCACCTACTACGTTAGGGATGGTGGGGACTTGAACGAGAACAGAAGAATGGTCCACCCTTCATCCAAGAATTCCACTCCCACATCCAAGAAGTCCCACATCCAAGAACACCACTCCCACATCCAAAAAATGGTTCTCTCTTCATCCAGAAAATGATCCCCTCCCCTCCCACATCCACGAATTCCACGAGTTCACGTCCCACGCCGTGCTAGAACGCACGCGCCGATGCTCGCAATCACGATGCTCACCGATGCACTGTTGGCCTCAGTCGTGCTGGTAGCAATCGCGTTGCTGCGCGCACTCATACTGCCCACCGACCATCCAAGATGGTAGCACTCGTGCTGCCGCTCGCACGCGTACTGCTCATCGACGTACTGCAAGTCCCAATCGTGCCAGTAAAACCCGTGTTGCTGCTCGTACATGTCACCGACGTATCGCGAGTCCAATGTCGTGTTGGTAATGTTCGTGGTGCTATTGCGAAGGCGTTACGGCCGGTGCCGCCGACCCTGAGGTTGGGGAGGAGGGCGCGGAGCATGGGTAGGAAGATGAAGCGAGGGACAGGAGGAAGAGGCGGATGAGGAGGAGTAGGAGCACAGGGGGGGGAATGAATAGGAGGAGAGTGAGGCGAGCAGGGTCGCGGGGGGGGGGCACGAAGGAAGGGCAGGCGCGAGTAAAGCGTGGCGGTCATGAGGAGGAGAAGGAGGGAGAGAATAGCAAGGATGTTGACGATGTTGACGACGACGCCGGTTGCCTATCAGGACCATTCGGGGCGTTTTGGAGCGTCCTGGGGCGACTTCCAGGCTTCGTTCGGCGTTTTGAAGCTAGGTTCGGCATCTTGGGCATTTGGGAGGGCACTGAGGTGTAGTTAGATTTGGATGGCGCTGGGGCCGGGACCATGGGCCAGGGCCGGGGCCGGAGCGGACCGGGAGCCAGGGCCAGGGCCGAGGCTGGGGCCGGGGCCGAGGCTGGGACTGGGGTCGGGGCCGGGGCCGAAGGGGTCCAGGGCTGGGGCTGGCGGGGCGGGAGGCGGGGCCAGGGCCGGCCAGGACCCGGGACTCGGGCCGGGGCCGGGGCCGGGATCGACCGGCGCCGAGGCCGGGGCTGAAAGCGGAGCCGGGGCTGGGGCTGGACTGGGGCCGGGGCCGGGGCTGGGGCGCAGTAGTTAGAATGCTTCGGCTCTCGTGAGGCTTTGTGCGGGCCCCAGGGCTCCCGGGGGGGAGTCGTATCTGGCAGGATCAACTGGAAGGGGCCTTCCATCGACTCAATGACAGCGTTGCTTTGGAGGGGGGGGCCCTGGAAAAGCGGGGGGGGAGCGGCGACGGGCCCAGGGAAGAGGGGGAAAGGGGAGGAGGGGAGACGGGCCCGGGGAAAGGGGGAACGCAGGGGCAGGAGACGCACTGCGAGTCCAAAGTCGTGCTGGTAATACTCGTCGTGCTATTTGCACTTGCGCTGTTCACCGCCGTCCGTCATGTCAGTCCAAGTCGTGCTGGTCACAGTGGTAACGGTCCTAATGGTAGCCGTAGTGTTGGTGGTTCCCGTCGTCTTGGTAACTGGCATTCGTTGCGCCAGCGGCGACGGAAGAAGGCGAAGGGAGGAAGGATGAGTGAGGAGACTGAGTTTACCAGGCTTCTGGAATTTGAAAAAGTAGTTTTTGAATTCACAAACCAGGAAGGATAGATGGCCGGATCAAGGCGGAGGGCGCCAGGGTCGAAATTGGGAGCCATTTTGGACCGCGTAGTGTCGTTTTGGGCTCTGGAAGCCGTCTCGTGGCTTTCCTTCGAGAGTGCCTTTGGAGCTCAAAGTCCTCCAAGCAGGTTGCCGCTTGGGGCACCCAGGGGCCACACGGAACGGCCTCGAAACATTCGAAACTCGTCATGGAATGTACAAGAAGCGTCCATCTGGGCAGGGCGTGCGGCTGCTTGTGACCCCGAGGGATGCCGTTTGCGGGGTTGTCAGAGTGGTTTGCGGAGCTGCGTGGCGCCCAGCGGGAAGGTCCCCACGACAAAGTCGAGCGAATATAGGCCGCAGCAGAAGTCAGCGCGAGGCGTCTTCAGCAGGCCGCTTAGCAGCACTGAAACCGCGGGGGGTCGCAGGCGAGCCCCAAGACCCAGCACTTCCAGGGAGACCAAGCCCCGGCTCAGATCCCACAGTTGTCCTTCTCACGCGCCTGGTGGCCCCTCAAGGGAGGTCGGCGGAGTTCCGAATGTCCCTCTCGGGTTTTCTTTGTGAGTTTCCTTTCCCTCTCTCTCTCTCTTTTTCCTCCTCCCTTTCGCCACGGAGATGAGGGAGGAGAACGCCAGGAAGAGAGAAACGGGGCACGGCAACGGGGCCAAGAGAAGGCGGAGACTGAGAAGTAGAGTTGGTTTCCCCTCTCTCCCTTTTCCCACGGCGAGGTCCCCCGGCCCAGGGCATGAAGGGAGAGAGTACACAGACGCTCGCCGCCCACCTGGCCGGAGGCTGGAGGAGGCCAAGAAGAAGACAGACGAGGCCACCACCTTTGCGCAGCGCCGTCTCTTGGGCGGTGCTGTCGGTTCTTCGAGGGAATTTCTGCAAGCGGGACCGGGCGCATTCGGGCCAGTTCCTGCAGGCGTTGCATTGCGAGGGCGCAGAAGAGCACAAGAGGTCGTTGAGAGAGGCGGCGGTGGTGCGCCTTTGGCTGTCCCCGTAGCTATCTATCCTGTTTGTCGGCTTCGACGCAGGTGGCAACATCCCGTTGCAGGCTCGCATTCGCGTGTGGTGTATTCTGAGATCAACGTCGATTTTGATTTCAATGCTTCCCTTATTCACCTCCTCGTCCTCCCTCATCCACCTCCACCACATCCTCCCTCTGTCTGTTTATCTATCTCTTCTCCTCCCTCCATTCATGTTCATTCCTCTTCTGCATCAACTCCACATCGTCGCACTACCAGGCGTGTGGATATAGCGGACCAGGCATTGCACAAGACAACCCCCTCTCGCACACACTGGTCTGAAAGCCCACTGTTCTCGACAGTTCCACGGATACAAAGCGAGTTGTGTTCAAGGATGCGTGATGAGATGTGGTTGTTAAATAGTTCTTCGCAGACCATCGTCCTACAAGTTTGGACATGCAGCACGTATCGATCGTCTGTCGGGGCGATGTCAAAGTGCGTTTTCGCGCATCTCGTCGCCATTCATAAGCTGGCGATAGTCGTGAGTAGTACCCAGAAGCTGCACATATGGACGATACGGTTTTTCCAATTCGCGTTTTCGTTGCCTCATGCTTTTGTCGAGAAGCCTCAAACATTCCAGGCAGCATCATAGATGGGGGGTGCTCGTGTTTCAGCATCGCGTTCTCGCCTGGATCATCATCGCCACGTCTGTTCCTGGAAGTAGGGATCTTCCACAGGTGCATGGATGGAGACGGGTCCTTTTGATAACGGCGCCCTCGTTGCAGACATACTGGCAACGTATGTTATCAAGCCCACACTGTCCGAGAAATACACATGTGCAGGGTGATATGGTTTCCATATCGTGATGTCGTTTCTGCGCCGAGCATGCCCTGAATAGCTCCTATATGCTTTGACTGTAAAGGCATATTCCGATTCAACTGCATTGCCGCAGTGTGTTTGAACTGGACTTTGCTTCGTTAGCGTTCGACGAATGAGTTTTCAAGGACAAGCAGCGCCCGTCGTCGAACAGTCATGTGGCTATTGTTTCGCAGTTCGAACCTATGAGGCGCGCAATCATGGGCTGCCCGAGGCCACTGATTATGGCAGGGCCACGCGTATCTCGTCCCTCCAGCCCTCGCACGTCCCGAACTTGTGGCAGAACCGTCTGATTACCGTGGGACCGTCACCATTCCAGTGGCCCATCGCCGTACGGAAATGGAATTCGTGCACCCCTTGTACCCTTCTTTCTTCACCCACCACCCGCTCCTCATCCCACCCTCTCCTCATCTCTTCCGGTCCGTCCCCTCACCTTCCTCGCCCGACCACTCGCTTTGACCGAGGCTTGGTCGGGGGATTCTTTAAGAGGTCATCGGAGCCTTCCCACATCTCCCTCCCTCCCTCCCTCCCTCCCTCCCTCCCCCCCTCCCCCTCCGTTGCCCCCTTGTCCCGCCTTCCTATCCCCTCCTCCTTCCGCTGCTCTCTTCCTCCCTCATATCCCCACCGACTCGTCTCTCCTTCACCCTCCCCACTCCTCCATCCGCCATTCCCCTCTTCCGCTTCCACTGCTTCCTCGTCCTTGTCCCTTCCGAGGCCAAGGACTTCCAGCAAAAGGCCCAGGAGTACGAG